TTTCAATATACCTGAAACACGAGTACGTACGTCATATGTGATTATACAAATAGAATCATAATAGGAAAAAATTCTTTTTATTTGTATAATGACATATGACGTACTGTCTCATGTTTCGGCCACATTAAAAAGTCTACTCATTCACAAACAGATTTAATTGTTTGGAACCCACTATTGTTTGGTCATGGATTCTTCGTAACATTAATTGCATGAACATTTACTTTAACAATTTCCACTGGTAACTACTATGTGTTAATTCAAAAATCAAGGGGTATACATTTTTTGTTTCATATTTTAACATCGTCTAAGATTTTTTTATTAAACAATTATGCTTTCTCATTACTATTCTTTTCAAATTACGATTGTGTACGCTTGACGCATTGCACCGAACTCTCAATTCTGTATTCATTCATGTCAAACGGGCTGCGCATGGGGCACCACTGTATAATTTTCCTTTCTCGAAGATCAACCCATCCCTAGCTTGTTTTATTATATAACCGATGCTAACTTGCATGTGTCCTAAACTACAAAATTAGGGTTTACTTTTTCATATGTCGCAGCTTCTAAATTGAAAGATTTAAATTAACAAAAGCAAAGCTGCAATTACGGTTGAACGTAATTATGTCGATCGAGGGAACTTCTTAATAAAAATCAACCATATATCCAGATAGTTACTTACGTTGGTAGTTGCTAGTTGTAGAAGGGCCACTAAAGTACCACAAGTCCTCTGGATTTTCCAATTCCTAGCTAGCTAGTTTTTGCTCGTGGCAGTCCTGCAGAGAAGAGGTCAGCTCACGCGTGCTGGTATGTGGCCAATTGGCCAGGGCCATGGGCATGGACGTACATACGTACGTCCGTTTGCATAACTAGGGTTTCCTTGTCTATCTTATATTCCAGTAAACTTTCAGCTACTTGATGCCCATAATAAAGGCCTACTACACTCTTTCAGATAAAATAAAAAAATAAAAAACCTAATCCCAATAGTATTGTACTCCATGCAAACTCGTGCATGCGAGGCGTCCCTTCTCTTTAATTTGTACGTGCTCTCTCTGCCCTAGACAGACAAATCTTCCAATTTATAAATATATTACATATCTAGGTACCAGCTAGTTTTGGGTATATATATAATATCCAGAAACTAACAATTGATATACATATAATTAGTGTTTATAAATTTGTAAGTTGGAGAGATTATGATGAAAAGCTTGGGGAGGCAATAAGTACGTATGTGGTTCCAAGTAACAATTTTGGAAAAGATTCTGATACAACTTTAGGTACCTTGGTTGGCTCCACAGCAGAAGGTTGAGCACCCCCACTCCCATGTGTGAAAGGGTCCCCATTTGCAATGTGTAGTGATGCATAATTGCTTGTCTTTGCTGTTGTTTCTTTCATTCCTTCCCACTATTGTATTTTTAAAATTATATTATTTATGTTGCTTGAATGTGTGTTTGTGTATACATTCTCATCTCCATCTAGAGTAGTAGTGTACGTACTCCCTTAAATTGGAGATAATTTTTTTTTGTCTGCAACACTAATTATTTACCACGAGTGAGGAACTTGATGAGTGATGCTCGTGAAGACAATATACAACAGATTACGAGCAGACTCGCTCACCATGCATGCATTGAGCTTGTGCTGCTTGGGTGAGTTGAGTCCAGGAATCCAGATTAGGTAAGCTAATGGTTACATATGGGCATGGGTGCCAAAACCCACGTGATCGGGTGGCTGCTTGGACACAACGAGTGAGCAAGGATGAATCTTGTGGTGGGGCTCTCCACACACAGACAGGGGCTGGTCTAGTCCTGTGGTGTAGTTGTGTGCATTAACAAACAACAATGGAATTATCAATTATGGATCAAACGATATGCCCAATTTCATTTGCATGTTACCCCCTCGTGGGTGTTTCGTAATCGTCCTTGGTACCTTTGTGGAATATATAATATTGACAAGTACCAGACACTCAGCTCCTAGTGATCGATCGATCGATATCCATCATCCCAACCCCCCCTACCCACAATATCCAACCATCGATTGATCATTTCAATGTTTTGTCACAAAAAATTTAATTTTCATTTCATTCATAAAAACAAACATCTTTAATTTATACACTTGCGAATTCATGTGTCGACTATATATAGGATGCGACATGTTAGTTAGTCTTGTTAATGCACACGAGTGCTATACATGCCTATGCCGTGAACATGAAATGAAAAAATACGAAGAGAATTAAATTAGGTCATGATGAGGGCTCGTTTTTAAGAAATCCAAACCAAAGAAAAATGCGAAAAGAAATATACTTAAGGAACGTATTATTAATAACCCCTCCATGATCTAGATTCAGACATGATTATATTTTCAACTAATCTGTACGTTTTTGCAATATAACAAATTAGAGAATGTGCTGTATGCCAATAAAAGATTTCTCAACAGACCGTGCATTATTCAACCCTTTTGAGCGAAATAATATAATGTGTATAGGGAATTCTTCAATCAATCGGTAGCTATTGAGTAGTGCGTTGACGACAAGAGTACCACGAACACATAGTCCAAATGATATCAAATACATGCAGTGAACATTGTATCACAAAATATATACCCATGAATATGTGAAATTAGAAAAGAAAAAAAAAACATTTTTCTAAAGTTTCATTCATGATACACCAATAACATGAGGCCCATTATTCTGGCACAAAAGCAACATCAAAGCATGTTACTGGTTAAAGTAATATTAATTAGGTAATCACAAGTTGATCTGATATCCTATATTATTCCTATCACTGTATAATTGAACCTAAGGACATTGATTTTACAAATGATATAAATATTTTTATTCCTTTGCTCAAGATTGCTAGCATGTGTTTGGATGCCTCCTAACCTACCAACTCACATGCTCCACACCAATTAAGATCCTTAAGATTAATTGGGAACATAATATAGGATTTAATTAGCTACTCGACTCTAACTAAACTACTGGGAATGTATGCATTGTTTGACTCTGGATTCATCAGATTATGACCTCTTTAACTTCGAATCTCTTAGTTAGTTTCACGACTACCCATCCAGTCGGTGATGCCAGAAATGTTAGATCTTGGATGGCTAAAATTCTGAACAAATATAAGTTCTTTAGAATTTAGCCCTGATTTCTAATAAGTTAAATTTGACCACTGAGTCACTGACTAGTGATGAATTTCAGTTTTTTCGGGAAGCTTTAAGTCTATAACAATACAGTGTACGTAATAAGAAAAATTAAACTTGGTCACACTCACGAGTCATGAATTTGACCGAATCAAATTTTAGAAATCACCAAATTGAGCTAATAATTTGATTACTTAGTCAAGTGCACTTGTTTTATTGGTATAGACCTATATCCCTTAATCAAACTTTATTCACGTTCTTTTCTTTCTTTTTCTTCGTTTGGGTAGTAGGTCAAAGATCATAAAATTCAACCAGACATTAGCCTACTAAGGTTAAGGTTAGATTATCCAGTTTGTTGCTATGCGTGGAAATATTGCCCCTGCAGGTCCCTAGTGATTAAGTGAACGTGACATCCACTTCAATATGTAAGTAAGTTTACTTTGGTTTTATTCACCAAAAAAAAAAAAACTTTACTTCAATTTTAGTTTTTTAATTTGCTTGTAATTAGCATCGATGAGACATCAATTAAATCCATCAATCTACTCCTAATATAGGTCAAACAAAACAAAGAAATAATGTATTGCAATGCAAGTGGTAAATTGTTATGATAGTTAAGATTTTTCTCGTCAACTCATTGTCATACGGAATTAAACTCTCTCTCCTCCTAGTTGTGTAATATGGGCTGTATTAAAAAAAAACAAATTAAACAAGAAAAAAGGGGAAAAAAACACAAAACTATGTTAGAAAAAAATAAGGATTGCAAGAGGCTTTATAATCTCATGTTTGTTATAGTATGTACTCACTAAGATGCTCGATTCTTCTTCTTCAAAATCATTTGTATTAAAACAACCGAGAGAGATAATTAATGAACTAATAAGGGGAACAAATGAAAACTAAAACAATTATAGATTTTGGATACAGATGTAGTACAGCTCAATTATTGGTACAGACTAAACCTAACTAAACAAGATGCGATCATTTTTGTACTATCAGTGGTTGGTTGGTTCCCATGACAATGCATGAAAGGATAATTAAGGGGTTTTCCTTGTATTATCTAATACTCACTTTCCATCAATGTAGCCCATTGTTTGCACAAGACAGCATGGAAAACATTAACTTTGTTTTTGGTTACCTATACAAATACAACATAATTAAAGCCAAAGTTCTGAGCTTTTAATTAGTTTCATGCAGCATAAACAAATTAAGAAAACAAAATTAAAATAAAATGATTCTGATAAGTACTTTGGTAATATATAGCATAGGATTCCATCACATGATGTTTTGCCTTCAATAGACAATTGGAAATCATTACAAGTTTCCACATATTAAACGTGTATGAACTAAGTTGTTCATGCACTTCGATAAATTCTCTTAAGTTAATCATGTACGTTCTGGAAAAAATTTTCATGTAATAATAATATGGAGTTTTTATTCACTTGGAAGGAAGATTGTTGGTTAATTTATAAACCATTTTTCTTATGTAATACTGTTGTTCGTGAACTTCCATATTGTTTCTTACAAACCCCCAAATGTCATATTGTATAAAAAAAAACAAACCTGGATTTAGTATGCACTATATATCGTTAAAAAATGAGTAATGTTGTTGCTAACACTAGCTATCCGATCCCCCATGGAGCTACTTAGTTATGACATACACTATATGTGACGATGTTTTAGATGACATCATTTAATGTTGAAGTCTATCTCGTAGAGGTGTTCAAATTGGATATTGAATCCATTTTGTATTTTATCCATCTAACTAACTATCATTAACATAAATAGTTCGTGTGAGAAAATCAAGTTATATGAGCCCTACAGGATTGACAAAGTAAACTGGTAGTTTTCGAGTGACAACATCTTTCATCTACTAAGAAGGAAGTGACAAGGAATTTCAATATATATTTTTTCCAAAGAGCAATTACAAACCATGCTGATTCCTTGCAATATTCCTACAGTTCTCAAGATTTAAGCTTTATTAAATGAATTTGTATTGTCACTTCTATGGCTTGCAAGACCCTGGAGGTGATCCTGGCTGCAATCGAGAACATAAATTATTAAAAAAAAAAAAGATATATTTTTATGAAGAAACTTTGCTAAAATACAAAAAAATTATTTTGGTGAACAAGAACCAAAGTTTCTTAGCTTACCACACATGCATGTACATCGTTACATCCACACAAGAGCTCCCCATTGAGATTGTCTAAAGCTCGAAACGATCCTCCTCCATCACTTCTCTGCATCAAGAAACCATACATGTATAAATGAGTAAAGTTTCCTATTTTAAATTTCAGACCTAAATTTAAAATTTGATTATTCAGAGGCTGTTAAACAGGGGAGGAAAAAAAAAAAGGCATGCCTTGTAAAAATCAACAGCAACAAAGTTAGCCCATCTGTTGCCAGCAGCACCATGACAAGTGTAAAGCATGTTAATCAGATTCCCAGAGTTATCTACGCAACTGCCTTTCTTAATGGGAACAGAAGCAAAATAATTCACCAAAACCAAAGATTTGGTCTTGTCATCAAGAGTTGATGATTCTCCTCTATTTGAACAACCGTCCTTCATTCCATCATCCCCATCTGCAAAGTTTGGTGTTGTAAAGTAAGACATTCATTCATACATTCCCCTTCCTTAAGAGGCATCCTGATCCACGGTAGATGTTGCGGGATCCATATCAACAATTATGTACTCAAAGTATCGATAGTATATCAACAATGCAGACAACATTACCAATACTAGATAATGCAATATGCTTGTCGATATGGATCCAGCTCCAGGTAACTTAATAACAGATGGAAAATCATTTGATAATATTTTAAAAGAATGAAGTTGGTATGTTGCTTCTTACATTGGTTTTCAACCATGTAGTTCCACTGGTAAGCGATTCCTTCGGATTGTTCCTTGGCTTTTTTTGAAGTAAACACAAGTAGCCTTTGGTTCTTGGCAACCATGTCACTAACTAGTGGCCAGTCCTGGCCAGTTTTGGGCATGCTTGTCACTGGAAACCAATATTTCTTCAACCCGGAAGCGTCGAAGACCTTTGTCAATCCATTTGGAGCTTCCACATAGTCCTCTAATATCAATGTCACAATTTCTGATGGGTTGGCTGATAAAAATGCTTCAACTTCCTTCAGGGTATCTATAGCTGGTCCCTATATATTTGGGAAGCAAGGTTGATGCAAATACATTTTGTGTGCAAGTTTCTTAATCTCAAAGAATATATATACAAGAAGAAAATGAAGTATGGCAGATGGTATTGCTTACAAATGCAGTAAAGTCATGGCATTCTCCTTTAAAAGAATGGCACAACCACACATCGTCCTTAAAATCATACGTATCCAGCATCAAGGCTCGAACTCCACCCTGTAAGAAGTCAATGAGTAATGAGATACACGACTAAAAGAGAGCTACTATTAACACTCTTAACAAGTCATCATGCACAAAGGCAGAACTGCACATTGTGCATGATGACCTTTTCGAGAGTGCTAATAACAACTTCTGAACAAAATTGAAAAGGCACAAGGCCTGCACGTATATGGATGAAGGATGCAATACACTGAGCTGTTGAGTGACAGTTTCTTCTTGATTGTTGAAGGTAACGCGAGGAATTCCAGTATGAGATGGCTCTCCGTCAATTGCAAAGGCATTGTGGGTTGTCAAAAACGCATACTTGTTGAACGGCAGAGAATTGTTCTATGTCAAATAAAAAAACACAACTAATCAAATATACGATTAACCTTTCGAGGCAGATTCGGTGCTAATTGAATAAAGCTCAACTCCACGAGAATCCGAATTAAAAGAAGATATAATTCAAGGAAAATGATAAACATACATCATGTTAATTTCTTTTAAAGTTTAATCGTGCTCGGTGTTTCCGTTAGATTATTCAATCAAATATAAAAAAATAAAGAAAAGTGTGTTAGAACTTAAAAATGTTTGTAAAATTCACTTCTTATCATTCAACCCTAGCTAATTACCAAGCCTATTAGGTCAAAGTATGAAAACCCCAAATCGACATGCATGAGTGCGCAGTATCCTCTGCCCTAAACGGGCCCAATTTCCAGGCCCAAACTAAACTCCTTAAGGCCAGTGAATTGTGGGCATAGGAAACTGTAAAATTCTTTTAAATGGTTGTGACATCCGAAGACGACCCAAAAAAAAAAAAAAAGACATCCAAAGGAGCCGGCAAAGTCATGCTCAGATTCCATGGAGTCAATGTGACATAGTGGACCCCACCCCATCCCTACTCAAAATCTCCTGTTTTTCCTCTTCATGATATGGTTATGTTTATCTCAATTTTGTTCTCGTCTTTTAGAAATTTAACCACTCGAGGGCGTTGATCATACTCAACGGAGTTTTGAGTATTGCTCGAAAGGCCTCAAGAGCTGCTCAAGCAGTTTCAAGTGGTTGGATTTCTATATCTTTAAAAAATAAGACAAAAATCTTGAATATATTACAAGAAACGATAAGTGTCCAAATTTTCTAGAGAGAGGGGGGTAGGTAGGTTAAGTGCCCAAATTTTCTAGAGAGAGTGGAGGTAGGTAGGTCACATACCAATAGTTTGAACTGATCTGTAATGGCTGATCTTATACATCTAGTGCCTGAGAAGCCTTGTGGGCAAGACCCGCAGAGAAGTCCGGCCTCACAATCGGCGTCCGTCGAGCATTCGTCCAAAAGCTACACATTTGAAAGCAAAATATCGTCAATCTTTCTTTTTTCCGTCACAAAAATTACATAATTCAGATGCATATATATGAAAAAGAGAGGCACAAACCTTGCACTGTCCAATGCTTAAAACCGCTGCGAAAACCGTGACTAACAAAACGAGGTTCTGCTGAGTAAACCCTAAGTTCTGCAGAGTCTTCATGTTGCAAGTTGCAACCAAAAAGTGATGCAGAGTCTTCATATTGGAAGTTGCAACCCAAAAGTGATGAAGGGAAACTGTGGTCGTTGGGTTTTGGTGACCGAACTTAGGTTTCTCAGTTTTGTCTGAGAAAACGAAGTCTGCAGACCTTCTGAATGCAGATTAAACTGTCTGGGAATTCTTACGGGTACGGATATAAATGTTCATCCCAAACAAAACCAATCACATCCATTTACAACAACCACGTTGGGATGGAGAAGAAGAGGAAATGTTTGAATCACTCGAGCCGTAACGGAACATCCTTAACCTTGGACCTTCACTCCCATGTGAAAATATTGACTTGTGGCTAAGGACTAAGGAGAAACAAAATTAAAATGGTATAATTTCCATATTCCATATATGTTTTTGTTTATCCACCATATGTGTTTAACTATGTATAGTATGCAAGTGTCTACCTTTCTCGGCCGTTTGGCTAAGAAGGAATGATTTTTTTATTTAATTTATAAGACGCGAATGAAACTATGTATAGTATGCAAGTGTCTACCTTTCTCGGCCGTTTGGCTAAGAAGGAATGATTTTTTTATTTAATTTATAAGACGCGAATGAAATTTATCTTTTCTAACCTTATCATATTAGCATAGTATTTTCATTATTTTTTATTTGTTTTTGACATACCTTGAGACTTGAAGATGGTAAGTTATTCAACTCAGTTGAATCTAGCAATAAATAAAGGGTGGTGCTACATATATCAAATTCATGCACCAAATATTGTGGCACATTCTACATTGTATACATTTTTATTACAATTATTAATCAAATTTTAACTTGAATTAAAATATAAATTTGATTGTTTCCACATCACTTGTTGCAAAATTTATAACTATTTGATGTGCCTAGTATTATTCATAAACGAATACCAATGGCTAATATGTATGTAGAAAGAATATAGGATGCTACATTGAATGTGTTCAAGGTATCAAAATGTGTAAAATTAACACTTTAAAATAAAGGGGAAGGTGATGGTGATGGTGATGGTCTTGACTTTCTTATTTTTTGTGTTAGTCATTGGTCAAAGTTTAGGGAAAGAAAACTGCAATTTTACATCATAAGGCTTGGAGGTCATTTTCAAAATGAATCATGAGGTTTTTAACTTTCGCATATTACACGTTGCTTTTGAAGTGAACCAATTAGACGTTAAATGTTGACATAATATAAATTAGGCCCATATAAGAGACACACGTTGATTGTCAATTTTATAAAATGATTAAAAGAGTAAAATAGTAAACTACTAATAAGCAAATGTTGGCTCAACTTATACTCCGTCAATACTTAACGTCTAATTAGACAGTAAAATTGACAAAAGTGTTAAATTAATGCACTTCAGACATCACATGATGTATTAAAAAATTGAAACCTCATAACTCATTTTGCAAATGACTCTGACTTTAGACCATCTCCAAACCTGAGCTAAAAGCCAAATTACCCCCCCCCAAACACTCTCCAACCCATGTTAAAATTTTAGGCTAAATGCCAAATGTTATTTCTGGGCCAAATACCCCCCCAGCTTTCCCCCCGGGCTAAATGCCAAATGTTTATCGGAATTTAAATTTTTTTAGATTAAAATGTTCATAAAATTAATTTACAATAATCTACATATTTATTTAAAAAAAAATTGATTTAAGAAAAAAAATTAGCCTAAGTTCATTCTTTAATAATTCCGGGCTAAAATTTTAGGCTACAAGGGTTGGAGCAGAAAAAATGTTTCTGGGCTAAAAGCCAAATTTTCCGGGCTAAAAAATTTGGCTTTTAGCCCAAGGGTTGGAGATGGTCTTATGGTGTAAAATGCAATTACTAAAATAGAATCACATTCATTGTCTCACATGGGCCGAACTTAAACAACAATAAACATATAGCAATGGTCCTGTTTTTTATCCAAACAAATTGTTTTCTTTTATGGTAATATGATCCAACAAATAGTTAATAGACTACAATAGTAGGTAGGGGGAGCCCAAAACAAGCCCAGGCTCCAAACAGTTTGGCATGCATATTTTCTCTTTTATACATACACTTTCTATTAATTTTATCATTTGACTCTCTTTAATTCATTAGATCGGGAGATCAAGAATTAATTAAAAAATATATGTGAAAAGTACAAAAGAGGTTTGGAGTACTTAGAGCTAATAATAAACTTGACGCAACCAAAAATCGAGTGAAGTGACGTTCAAAAATTCATACGCTCAACCTCACTCAGTTGGGTAAGTTGTTATTTTGAGCGACTTCTCCCGTTTGGAAATATTTGAAGTTCATTGCCTGGTGTTAAAACTACTTCTGCATTATTACCGGGGAAAAAAAAAAAACTTCTGTACAATGTACTGAATTATCAGAACAACCAAAAAAGATTTTTTTTTTCCTTTTTTTTTGGCTAGGGATTGTTTTCTTTTTAATGCGATTCTTTCGAAAGTATCAAAACGACAGGCTCATTATTAATAATTTAATTTTTTTTATACAAAATGAGGAAACATGAATGACATCTGTGGAATTTCACAAAACTCGATTAAACCGGCCCAAAGCAAAATAGTATAACCGACATGAACAAGTTGCTATAAAGCTCTTAAAAAAATAAACCCCCCTTCACAAGTAAACTTTTCACGAACGCGTCTGAAATTATTTTTCTTGAGAGAAGAAGTGGTTGATGGTAGGCATGATCTCCGGTGGCCGTGTGCGGAGGAACTTCCGGAGCCCGTGCTCGGCGTACTTCTCTCCCTCTTCTTCATTTTCAAGCACCGCCATTCGACGGTGAGCTTTGTTGATTCTGCATATTAATTAACTAATTAACACGTTTATAAATTAAGATCTTTAAATTATATATATATATATATATATATATATATATATATATATATCTGTGTGTGTGTATGAATCTGTACCTGACTTCAGGGTTGAGGAACATGTTCCGTGTAAGCTGAAATGCGCACAAGCTTGTAACAAATGTCATCGCAGCCATTAACGGATACACCTAAATATATATGTCACCCACAAATTCGGATTAATTAGCTTTATTGGATGTTTTTATTCACAAAATTAGAGAAAGTGATTTTCACGCACTCATTTTCTTTTTTATTAAAAAATAAAAACGAAGAGATGAGTAAAGAAAATAAAAATAACCTTATGAAAATCACTAACCCGGATTTATTCTAAATTACTTTAACTTCCGAGAGAGATTCTAATTCGAATGCAAAGAGTACCCTAACTGCTAACATATTGAAAAAAAGTAATTAAACTAAAAGTCGAAAGCTTTCTCACCTCAGGCCTAACCCAACGCCCCATCTGAATTCCAGATATGTGAGAAGAAAGTATTTTGCTTTTCTTTTCTTTTTTTCTGCTTCCTGCTTTTTGCTGTTGCGTTTGTATTTCTATGTGCCATGTATGTATGTGTGTGTGTATATATATATATATTGTGTTACGTGGATTGGAAAATATGGTATTTGGAAAATTAGGAGCTACTTACTGTGGGCAGCAATATACTTTTGACCACCTACGGCTAAAACCAGCGGCTTAGCCTCTGGATTTTCTTAAACGACCCAATAGGAAAGAGCGTTTTGCCTTGTGGGTTGACAATTTTAAACTTAGACCTTATCACCAAAATGTTCCATACGGCAATCAAACTACTTTATATAACAAATCCGAAGCATGAAATAGACTCCTTATGAATTCTAGCATGTTCTTTCGAGGAAAACCCTTATAAAAAAACATTCAATACCTCTTAAAAATATGGCAAAACCTATATTAAAAATTGGATTTTCTTTTGGTTCACGAAAGAATACATTTACAAAAGAAAATATAAAGGGTACATTTTTGTTTATAAACATTTTCATTAGAAGCACGTTAGAAATGTTCTTGTTGTTTCTTCATAAATCACTGATTTTTGTTATGTTTTTGTAATTGGCAATTACTTCTAAGTTATTTTGTGAAACTCTGGTGTAATCACATTTGCTTGAAACTTCGCCGCTTTTGTTTGAAATTGAACTTGTAAATTAGCAATTAAGCTTTATGAATGCAATAAATAACCATGCTTTTACATATAACAGTAAAAAAGTTGGGATTCAATCATAAAATTAAGGGAGTTTTAACGAAAAGTCCACGGTATTGTTTACTTTAACTAAAAACCACATTTTTACACTAAAAAGTCAATCCTGGTACTATTCATTTTACCCTTTATTTTGTCTTAAAACTCAAAGTTTTTAAGTCATTTTCATTAATTTTCCTTAAAATTAATTGGTAATACATGCAATAACTCAATTACTTATAAGTACATGCAATGTTCCTTTTTTCTTCAACGTGAGATTTACTCCCAACACGCCTTCGCCCCCCACATATGACAAACTTTTAAGTCTAATAACACTTGAATAACACAAATTTCGTAACGTGTAGTACGTGTAGCCATTGGGCTTCACAAATGGGACAATGTGCTCCAATACTGTGAAGAAAGTTGAGGTTCTACCATAAAATCCATTGGCTATGTGGGACTTTATCCTCACATTCTCACATGCCCCCTCACGTATAAAGAATTGTCAAGCCTAACACGTGAATAACATAAACAGAATGACGTGAAGCAAATGTGACAATTGCGGTCTTCACACATAATATCCAGTTGAGGTTTACATCCAGCCTTTTGAAGATCTAATTCACAATTAATGGGTTAGCTATCAATCATCTTCCAAGCAAATAACGACCAAAATTTCATTTTCGTTAATACAAACGATAATAGAAAAAGAAAAAATTGAACACACCACCTCATCATATACATTATCAAAAGTTAATACTTAATACTTTTAATCAAGAGAAGAGCCAAAATTTGGGTTGGGGGCTGGCAAAATCCATAACCAATAATATTCACATATGTGCATTAACTTGGATTGGGAGCCACCATCTACTTTTTCACTAAAAATCTCCTACCATATTGTGAAATAACTTTGCATGTACAAAGGTTGGAAAAAAGTTGGGTTGGTGGGCATGGCCACTAGGAATCTAGTTGTGACTTCGTCATTGTTATTAATCACTTGAGTTACAAGCCTACGAGTTCTTTGCGATTAATTTCGATTTTTTTTCAAAAAATGAGGATGTCTTCCCTTAAAGACTGAATAGAATTTCTCTTAGCTTGAACTTCTACTCTCATTACCTGTCAACTTCAGCTGCAAACCAGGGACCGTTGAGATGGTGTGCTCACTGCAAATATATTTGGAATGCCTAGCGAGCTAAAGCAGTTGCTTTTAGGACTTGGAAAGCCAAACAGAAGTCTCGAGAGATCAGAGAGACTGAGAGAATTGGACATGTAGTTCCAAGTATGCGACAACCATTAGGTAATCCATCTGTTCACAAAGCTAACAAAATTTTCCTTTGCACAATCTCTATCTTCCTTAAATACATACACTTCCATTTCCCACTAAATGCTCCTGCTCATGGCTTAAGCTAAGCTTACAATCCAAACTCAATCACCGTAAAGTTGATGATTAGGGTTTCGGACCGGGGAGAGATGAGAAGTTTGGTGTCAGTTCTCTTCTTTCTTGCTATGTTTTCATGTGCCAGTAAAACTCTAACTCCTTAGACTACACATTGGATTGAAGAAAGAAAAATAATCATTCATCTGATGTTTTCTGATTTGATGAAGCTGCATATGATCCTTTGGATCCGAATGGAAACATAACAGTAAAATGGGATATCATGTCTTGGACACCAGATGGTTATGTGGTGAGTATCACTTTTTTCTTATAATTAACTTGATTTCTCACGTATCCGATGTCCGTTACTCGATCACATTAGTTGAACGAATTTCACCTTCATCAGTTGTCTAAGAAGATTGTTCTAAGAAGATTTAGAGGTTGCATACAAAATGCATCAACAAGGATCGATTACGCCTCTAATGAATTTGTTTCAGGCGGTTGTTACCATGAACAATTTCCAAACGTACCGGCACATCATGAGCCCGGGGTGGACGTTAGGGTGGATGTGGGCTAGAAAAGAAGTGATATGGGCGGCGGTGGGAGCTGAAGCCACGAAACAAGGTGACTGCTCCTGGTTCAAAGGGAACATACCTCATTGTTGCAAGAAAACCCCCACCGTTGTGGACTTGCTTCCTGGTGCTCCTTACAACCAGCAATTCACAAATTGCTGCAAAGGTGGCGTGGTGTCTGCGTGGGGCCAAGACCCATCGACCGCGGTCTCATCCTTCCAGCTCAGTGTTGGATCAGCCGGCACTACAAAACGGACAGTCAGACCTCCTAAGAACTTCACGCTGCTAGGCCCCGGACCAGGGTACACCTGTGGCAGGGCAAGAGTTGTGCCTTCCACAATATTTTTGTCACCTGACCGACGCCGCAGGACTCAAGCTTTGAGTAAGTTCCTCTGCGTCACATGACTCAATTACTTTGCTCAACATTTTGTTATAAATAGACAAAAGTTCGAGAGATAACATTTTGCTAGGGGACATGAAAGAAGTGGATGCAAAATATCACACTGTTTAGTTTCGTAACTATAACACAAAAGATTGCAGGAAAAAGAGGAGGGAGGGATACTGATATTATTGCTTTCACTTCTTTTCTTTGCTATGTATTGTAATCACACACGGAGTGCTTTTTATATAGAGTCACATCCGTGACAAACCAAAAAGTGAAAAGATTGCTCTTTTTGAAAACTTCACATAACAACAATTACACTATTGTTGCCCTTTTGAAAACATCACATAATAACAATTACACTACTGTGGGCATTCATTCTCACAATTTTACAATTCATTTTAGATTATTGGTTCATTTTGATTAGCATGTGACATGTCAAATGCATAACGGTTATCATATTTTATGCAGTGACATGGAACGTGACCTGCACATATTCACAACTTCTGGCCAAAAAGTACCCAAGCTGTTGTGTCTCTCTCTCGTCTTTTTACAATTCCACAGTCGTTCCTTGCCCTTCTTGCACTTGTGGTTGCCACGACAAGAGCAATTGCGTCCAGTAAGTCCTCAAACAAGTGACATATATTGCATTACCTGTGCACAGATATATACATAAATCACATGTCAAAAATGTTGATTGTTTTGCAGAAGTGGTTCCAAAATTGTTAGCACGGTGGAAGATGACGCTACAGAGAAAAGCAATGTGCAGCCGCTACCGCAGTGCACACGCCACATGTGTCCGGTGAGAGTGCACTGGCATGTGATGCTGAATTACAAGGACTATTGGAGCGTGAAGGTGTCGATTACAAACTTCAACTATCGGATGAACTACACGCTTTGGACTCTGGTAATTCAGCATCCTAATTTCATCAACGTCACGCAAGTTTTCAGCTTTGATTACAAGCCTCTCGTTGCTTACGACTCTATAAGTGAGTTCCAATCGATTTCCTCCTCCACATTATAATTATCGTAGTCACAACCTAACGTAGCTGTCACGTTATATGCAGATGACACTGGCATGTTTTATGGCTTGAAATTCTACAATGACCACTTAATGGAAGCCGGGAAATTTGGGCACGTTCAGTCGGAGATGCTGCTTAAAAAGGACAAGAATACCTTCACTTTGAGGGAGGGGTGGGCATTTCCTCGCAAAGTTTACTTCAATGGCGATGAGGGCCAGTTGCCTCCACCTGATGTCTACCCGTTTCTTCCCAATTCTGCCCATGAAACTCTACTCTCCTTCTCACCGTTGATTTCGTCATTCACTTTCTTGTTCATAGTTATTTGGTGATTTGGTTCCGTAGATTCCAGAATCGTGGTCGATGCCCTAAAAGCTTTGAACCTGAGGTATGAATGATATTTTGCAGAGAGAATTGGAGCACAGGTACTTAAACTTCAAGCATTCTTTGAAGAATGCAAACTCAACTTACTTGTATGTGTATCTTGTGAACAGAGAGACTGAATGAGTCTGGTATATGTTCTCTGAAATCATATAAATTACAGTACATGATTGGCAAATGAAATCTTTAATTTAATGCAGAACTGCCATGATTTGATTAAATCAACGCAATCACACGACTGCTTATGTACACAGTAAGAACAGATAACAATACTCTGATCAGATTCAATTGCGCGTTTGGGATTTACAATCATGACTACATCATCTGGTAAACCCTACAACCAAGAGGGTCTGGCTACATGAATATTCATACAACACTACAGCCAGAAGCAGCCCGCCTTTACAGTAAGTAATACAAAAAATGGACATCAACAGCACATTTGACGACATCAAATTTCGCGTCGGAAGCACTTCACCAATACGCATCAGAACATCCAGTGGCTTCCAAAATTTCCCATCTAAGCTGTAGTACTATACCCTTTGAAAATCATAGATTGGAACATTTTCGAGCTCGGGTTAAACATAAGCATACATGACTGCAACGGTCGATAGAAAAGTCATGATTAGAGTAAGTAGAGAGACATGCTGCCGGAAACCAGAATTTGGCAACCGTGGATAGGCATCCGGAGGTGGCATCACACAGTTATCACCATTGAAATAGACCCTTCGAGGGAACGCCCAACCCTTATCAAATGTGAATGCTTCACCCTTTTGGAAAAGCAGCTCTGACTGTACATTACCAAGAGGCCCAGATTGCATCAGAACATCATTGTAGAACTTAACTCCCCATAACATGGCAGTGTCATCTGTTTGAAAGAAATCCAGATCACAGATTTGTAACTTTCAATGTTATAAAGGAAGAATAACATACGCAGGTATTTAAGAAAACCATACAAAACTTCAAGTTTTAGTCAAATCATGTGAGCAAAGAACATATGAAAAGTAATAGGAAGTAAGGGTTAACATACTAATTCTTCCATATGGAGTTATCGACTTGTAGTTGTAGCTGAAAATCTGGGTCAGATTGTCAAAGTTTGGGTGCTGGACAACCAGGTTCCAATCGGAATAATTCATCCGGTAATTGAAGTTTGTAACTGTAATCTTCACTCGCCAGTATTGTTGGTAGTTTTCCTTGACATGCCAGTGAACTCGGATTGGGCACATGTGATTAGTGCATGTAACTAGAGGCGTAGCTATGCTTGTTGGAGGCTGAGACAACTGAAGCCAAATAGGGGGAATTTGATCTGCAAATTCACAGAGAACATAAATGTCTTAACGAAAAAAATTAAAAGTAAAAGCTTAAAGAAGTTAAAAGAAGCTGATTCCGGAAGAGAGCTCACTCTACACAGCTTCCTGGATGAGTTGCGTTACTTTGGCAGCCACATGAGCATGTTTGGCAGGGCACTACCGTGTCATTGTAGAAGGATGAGAGAGAGACACAACATGTAGGAGTTGCCTGAGCCAGGAATTGCGAATACGTGCACGTCACATTCCATGTCACTGTCACGAACAAAGGGTAAGAACGACTGACAAATTTATTAGCGCAAACATTTATGTTTAAAAGGATTCATAACACTTACTCCTAGCTTGAGTGACTCTCCTTTTATCTGGACTGATAAATTGAGTTGGCTTGACAACATTGGCGGGACCACAAGTATACCCAGGACCGGGTGTGTTAAGGGTGAAGTTTTTAGGAAGTCTGACGGTCTTGTTCGTGGTTCCTGCTTGACCAACACTTATTTGAAAAGAAGCTGCAGCATTTACTGGATCTTGCACCCATGAACTAAGTACTCCTCCTTTGCAACAATTTGCGTATTGTTGATTGTATGGAGTTCCGGGCAATAGATCAACAATTGTAGGAGTCTTATCACAGCAGTGGGGAATTGTTGTTTTGAATTTTGAACAATCCCCTTGATCTGTGGTTTCTCCTCCCACCATGTTCCATATAATCTCCTTCTTTGCCCATGTCCACCCCAGCAACCATCCTGGTGCCTGAATGTGCCGATACTTTTGGAAGTTAAAAAGTGTAACAGAGGCCTGTGTATTCATTCAAAGAACACTGATTAGATATTCACTCAACTCAACTGTACATAGGGGAAAGGTAAAACAAACCCATGTTATATGCTGCTGTCAACAGCTAATCGAGATTTGTTTCACTAAAGCAAAAGTGGAACGTCTAAATTTGAGTGCAACTTGTGATTCAGTTTTTAATCTTGCGGGGACCAAGACTTGTTACTCCTCAGAAATTCATTGCACGTATATTTCTTCGTACGCAATGATTTTACACATTCCGTGCAACGAATGTAAAAAACAAACACGTCTCAGATAATACTTACAACATAGCCATCAGGAGTCCAGCTTAAGATATCCCATTTGATGGTGATATTTCCGTTCGGGTCGAGTGGATCATACGCTTCTGGCAATACACAAGCAAAATAATGAACAATGTGATGATTCGAATCAATAAAAAACCATGTAAAACAATAATTTCAGAGCCTTGTTTGCCACAGTTTCTTCTGTTAAAATTCAAAAAGTTCGAATTCATCCCGAAACACAAGAACTTCATAACGAAATACAATTTTTCCATAAAAAAACCAATCTGATAAAACAAATTAAATAAAAAAAATTAATAAAAAATCATCCTCGTATGTAACAGTGAAAACCCAAAACCCCAAAGCTGCCAAAACCTCACAAACAATGAAGAAAATAAGACACATTAGGCCAAGAAAACCCACCAAGCAAATTAAAGATTCAAACTTTGAAGAAATCACAAATCACCAGCTAAAAATATTCAAACTTTGAAAAAAAAAACAGACCGAGTCCGAGCATATACACCTGTGGCAATGAAGGTGCTGGTGCAAGAAAGCACAAAGACGAGCAAGGTGGCGAAACTGACGAATTTCGGGACTGATCGAATCATGGGCAGGAAGAGAAACCCCATTTCCGGCAATTAGACTTTGTTCTGATCAGAATGTTTGCGTTCTAATTTGTCTTGGGTGCCGCAAAGTTTCTTGCGGTTTTGGTCAGAGGTGGTGGCACAGGTTTCGTTTCCGAAGCAGAGAAAATAAGGAGTGAGGAGAGAGAGAGAGAGGAGAACGCGGTAGCGTGTGCGATACTGATCACTTTGCAAGTCTGCAAAGACAGTTTAAAAGAGTAAATTTTTAATTAACTAATTTTATTCTAATTTGGAAGTCTTCGGTTTCTTAATTAACTGATTTTATTCTAGTGTATGACGGGTTCTTAATTAAATTATTATAGTTAATTCAATGTATAAATTAGCTCAACTTATTTTATAATTTAGTATCTATCAGTGTACAATAAACATAAAATTTCAACGGTTTAATTCTTGAATATCGAATCATTACCCTTATTTATTCGGCATATATCACATACTAGACATGATAAAAAATTTCAAAAACTATGTGTTATGCTGAGAGCCTAAGAATTCATTTTACAATAATTATTAATTTGTGGGTTGTTTTATGCTAATAATTAATTTATAAAATGGGTTAAAAAAGATTAATTGACAGTTTCAAAGTAAATAAAGTGGTTGACAGTTGTGATGATCACAAATCAAAATCAAGGGTCTGGCAATTGGTAATTGGCATCTTGTCTAGCACAAAAATATGAAATCGGCAGCTTCTTAGACTTCTAGTAGTTACTTGGTTTGGAACTTAGTATTTTGTACAATTTTGTCTTGTCAGATTTTAGAAGACTTCTAGTGGTTGCTGTGATTTGGAACGAATTTTAGGTCCGTATTTTAAATAGTATGTCTTAAATTCAATTCATGACGTTGGTACATCACACGATGATGCTAAAAAAAGCTAAAATATTTCTGCAAGTCTTCCCAACCCAGAAAAATAGACTACCAAAATAAAGCTACTAACTGGTCATTTTTGAAAAAAAATTGTATGATAGTAATAGACCTTATTGAAATGTTAAAAGGCAAAAGGTTGGATTCATGCATTCTTATTTTATGGTTTTAATAAAATATTTCAGTCGGTACTAATAAGTTAGGGGGATAAAGTCAAGGCCCAAGATCTATTATTTTTATTCCAACACTTACAAACACCTTGTCCAAATAGCACTATTTTCTTTTCATTTGTGTATGAAATGTGTATGGTATTAGAGGAAGGGTAATGCTAAGACAGCTAAATTTTTAAACAGAATTGTGAAAACTAAATAATTTGATTATTGATGATTAGATTATTATTTAAATGTCGATTAACTTGTTTATTTTTATTAATAAAATATTATTTAATTTACAAATTTAATTTAAAATTTTGATCTACTAACATTACCGACGAGAAAATATAGGAAACAACCAGCTCATATGCCACGCGTAGACGCCAATAGACATTCCCTAAAATCCAGTATTCAACATATATATTTGCAATTTATTGACGTAGTCGTAGTCAACCAATATTGTTCGGCTACACATTTTCTCTCTACAGCCCAACCTACCCTAGTTCTTAAAACTAATTTTAAAATAAAATAAATAAATATTTAAAATAATAACATAAAATAAAAAAATTAGGCCCCACCCCCCTCAGTCCCACCACTCGCCCAGAACCATGGCCTCCCTGACACCTCCTTTCCCAGCCTAACCTCCCCCGCAACCAACCGCCGCCAGCCCACACCCAACCCTGCCACCGTCCTCGTCTCCAGCCCCATATATTCTGTCTCATAAAATTACAGTAGTGAGCACTGAATTCTACTTTTTTTTTTTGGAATTTTAACGAAAATCACCTAGTACTGTTCACTTTAACGAAAAATCACATTTTTACACTAAAAGGTCAATCCTGGTACTATTCATTTTACCCTTTATTTTGTCCTTATCATTAAAACTCAAAGTTTTCAAGCCATTTTCATTAGTTTTCCTTATTTTTTTCTTATGTGGAAAAGTTCTGACAACCCCATCAGCATTAATGTGGATTCCAAACTAGTGAAATCATCATTTAACGGTCAAACAAGCAGATCAAAGATAAGATATGAAGTTGCAATCAAACCTAATTGAAATTTCACGAGTCATAACGCACCCGTCACACAACAAATCTACTTTGAAGATGGCTTATTCTCTTGGCCAATTGTCGGAATGCACACGAGATGTCATAAGGGCTCAATATCTCAAAAGCATCTTTGTCTAAAGCTTTGTATGAGACTTCATATCCAAAACCAAAACACAGTCGGCTTCCGCTGCATGCATGCATGGGACTCGCTTATTATGTTAAGGCTCAATAGAACCTACCCAACTGGGCTATCTGGCTGTTCAATGGTACAAACCAGGTCCAGACCAAATTTATTGCGGGCCCTATTTACGTGCAGCCCACTGACGAGAGTTGGTCCAGCGCCACGCGGTGCATGAAGAAACATGCACTCTCACAAAGAAACGGTCACGATGAAGGATCCATTCTGATCCAACGGGTGCACGCGGAGTCATTGTTACGCGCCGCATTTGAATTAGTAAGGCTGATCAATGCTGACAAGACATCTCAAATTTAAATGAATTGTTATTAACACTCTGGTCATATTCAATAATTTTGTGCACAAATTGTAGAAATGAATCGGTTGTTACTTTTTAAAAAGATTTAGTTTTTGAATTCTAGATAACGGTTGAAACGGACTACCTATAAGGCTAGATTTAAAGGAGAACTAATGAAAATAGCTTGAAAACTTTGAATTTTAACAATAAAGACAAAATAAAGAGTAAAGTAAATAGTAACATGATTGACTTTTTAATATAAAAATATGATTTTTCATTAAAGTGAACAGTACTATGAGTTTTTCGTTAAAATTCCCTAGATTTAATGATCCTTAATTTAAAATTTGAGTTTAAATGATTTGTTTACTTGATAGATCAGTTCAAATTGACCCAAATTTAAATCAATCTGTTTACCAATCTAGATGAAAATCGTATAGTTCGTTGTTAGTTGGAATAATTAAAGAGTAATGATATTCACACACTTTTTTCTATATTTATGTATTAAAATTTTTCATTCATTCGATTCGATAATCTAAACTAAAAATAAATAAAAATAAAAATAAATGTGCGAATATTACTACTCTAATTATTCGAGAGCCATGAAGAGGAGAGTGTTCGGTCAAAAACAAGCTCCTGACCCGCGCTGAGCCGACGTAAACAGAAGAAGGGTCAGCCAGTTGACTTTGCTCCAATTCCTCCTCCTGCAACTCCAAGCATTCAAATTCTCCCAATTCCAAATTCCAAATTCCAAATTCCAAATTCCAAATTCGAGAAGAAAACTCCTTCCATTTCCACGCGCTAATCGCTCCAACAAAACTCGGTACCCGTTTTGCAAAACGCATCCCGTTTCCCAGAATCTTGGGGCGCTTTTCGGATTCGGAAACAAGATGCGTTCTTGATTCGCCAGTCGCCGCCTTCCTCTTTCTCTCTTCGATTTCGAGCGACCTCCATGGCGGTTTCCATTGGCAACACCGAGATTAATTGGGACAAGTATGTTATTTACTTCGATCAATTTTAATTTTTGTTCATTAGTTGAGAGATATCCCATTTGTTATACTTTCGTTTATGAGCTCAAATTATTGAATTTTATGCTTCCTTTATTAATGCTATGAAATTCAATTAATTAAAGAATTCGAAACCAAATCCGAAACCCATAATTTATATGTATTGGTTGAGTGCTCAAAGTATTGAATTTTGTGCTTCGTTGAATTTTGACAATAATGCCATGAAGTCTTCAATTAGTTAAAGAATTCGAAATCCAAAACCCGTAATATATATATATATATATATATATATATATATATATATATATATATATGTGTGTGTGTGTGTGTGTGTGTGTGTGTGTTGGTTGAGTGCTCAAATGAGTGAATTTTGTGGTTTATTGGCTTTTATGCAGGCTTGATAAGACTAAATTTTATGTGGTTGGAGCTGGCTTGTTTACAGGGGTCACAGTGGCACTGTACCCAGTTTCCGTGGTGAAAACCCGCCTACAGGTTGCTTCCAAAGATGCTCTAGAGAGAGATGCATTGTCTGTGGCCAAAGGCATTTGGAAAGCAGATGGTATTCCTGGTTTGTACAGAGGGTTTGGCACCGTGATTACCGGCGCAGTTCCTGCCCGGATCATATTTCTCAGTGCTTTAGAGGCCACCAAGGTGGCTGCTTTCAAGATGGTTCAACCCTTAAAGTTATCTGAGGCTACAGAGGCAGCTTTTGCTAATGGAGTAGCCGGAATGACTGCCTCGCTTTTCGCTCAGTCTGTCTTTGTGCCCATTGACGTGGTAAATTATTTTATAGGATCTATCAATTTCATTTGAGTACTTTTGTAGTTAGGGGTTTGAGATGGTAATTTTGAGTAATGGATTTTCTTTAGATTAGTCAAAGGCTGATGGTGCAAGGTTATTCGGGCCATGCAAAGTACACCGGAGGGCTGGATGTTGCTCGTAAGGTTATAAAGTCGGATGGCATACGCGGACTTTATAGAGGGTTGGGACTTTCTGTTATGACTTACTCTCCATCTAGCGCTGTATGGTGGGCTAGTTATGGTTCAAGCCAGCGCTTAATCTGGAGGTGAGAAATGGTAATTTGTTGTCTATTAACTCTGGTTGTGCTTATTCTTAAACTAGGTCACCTAATTGATAATTCTTTAATCAGTAAATTTTATATCTTTCAATTGAATGTCAGCAATACATAACTTAAAAATTTTCGGTTGAACATTTGATTTTTCATTTTACAAGGGCATGAAAAGTTGGGAGGTGTATCAGTTTAATGTTCGTTTTAGATGGTCCCTGGTTAGAGTGTGTTAGTGGAACATATTAGTTATGTTAAGAAGTAATGGTTTAGATTCATTTGTGTTTTGTGCGAATTATCTGCAGATCAAGAAATTGGTTATTGGAGAATAGGTACCCATCTGGTACCTGTTGTACTTGTTGTTCTTGGTAATGAAAACCCTTATCGATTCTGTCAAAAAGAAGTAATGAGTTGTTGGATGTAATCATCAATACTGCAACTTTGTCAATTGTTAGGTTGTTTAGCAATTCTAAAGTCCATCAAGCCATTGAATATCTATAATTAGGTTAATGAACTTTGTTCTGCTTAGATAAAGTTATAAGGTGAAGGAGTTTAGGTGAATCAAATACCCTTTTGTCCACAGTTTATCTTTATTGTGTGACAATATATCTCTCTCTTATATTATCTTTATTTATTAAGCAGTTTCTTAGGCCATGGAATTGGCTCTGAAGAAGCTGTTCCGAGCGTGGGGAATATAGTGTTGGTTCAAGCTGCTGGAGGAATTATTGCCGGTGCAACAGCATCCTGCGTAACAACCCCATTGGATACCATCAAGACACGACTGCAGGTATTCATATAACCAGTTCATGTACCTGGTTACTTTGCTGGCTTGCAGCTTGCTCATCTTCATTTGACCAAGTTATTGATAATTTGTGTTTTTAATAAAACTTTGTCGCTGCAATGTAGACGATGGGACATGACAGGAGACCTACTGCAAGAGAAGTTATTAAGAACTTGATTAGAGATGATGGCTGGCAAGGTTTCTACAGAGGGCTAGGTCCAAGATTCTTCAGCATGTCCGCCTGGGGAACTTCGATGATATTGGCTTATGAATATCTGAGTACGAACTCTTAACCCATTGCGCTTCTTTGTTATATATTTTGGGTCCTCTTCTCTTGATGTTTCTGTGGCCTCATGTTTACCCAACTTCAAGGTTCAATCTACTTTTAAAGTCCAATCTCGAAATCCATAGATACAGAAATGATAAATTCCTGCTGTTCAACTTCTCAAGCAATAATCATCGGACTTGCGAATACCAGAAATTAATAACTGATTTCTATTTTGTTGTTTCCTTGTACTTTCAGAGCGCCTGTGTGCAAAAGATGAGTAGGTGCTATTCCTCTTCCATCCAGAACCTTTTCCTCTTGCCGTGGAGCAACTATGCATCGACGGAAAATTTGGTGGTTATGAAACAAACAGGTACCGGACATTTTTGATTGGGAAATTTGATCCCGTGATATCTTAAAATGCATTAGTTACTAACCTTTGGAAAGGTCCGCTGAATTCTTTCAAGAATTTTTCTGATAGATAGTTGTGATATCACTTTAAAAATTGAATTGAATTCATTTGAATTGTAGCAAGTGTACCTTTACCCTGAGCAGGGAATTTCAACTTCTTAATACAAAGTTCATATAATAATTTCATTTTTCTATATTCTTCTCTTTAGAACATCAAATTCATTCGCCCGATTGAAATAACAACAATTATTACTCGTTTAAACACGAAGATATTGAGAAATTTACTCGTTAACGACAATAATTAACCTCTGATTGGCTTCTCCAAAACAGCTGAAAAGAAAAGCTCATCTCCAAGCTTATCAGTCTTGGGAGCTACCCTGAGTACCCTCCATACCAATGGCTTGTAACCTAACCTCTTAAACTCATCCATATACAACTTCATGTCCGCCTTGTGACAGAAGAATCTGTCTATCCAAAGAAGACCCTTCAGCGGAAGGACGAGTTCCCAATCAAACAGCGCAAATTGAAGGATTTCAGCTCTGATCCAGCCATCCAAGAACAAAGTGGAATGGATAATGTCGAGGGCATTGTCGAAGAAAGGCAGCCTCGAGCCGATCTTCCTCTTAGGCGATTACCTCATTAGAAGGAGCCCTTAAGTTTAAGGTACTAGAGGCAATGGTAATGTTCTTTTCCTTCATGATACAGCAAACGTTCCCATGGTCGGGCTAAAGTCTAGGCCGATTCTCATCTCCCCCGGCTTGAAGCTTAGAACTTCGTCAATGGTGAACTCAGCTGATTCAGACTCATTTGTTGGAGTGTCCCAGGCTTGTTTCCGAAGGCCTGAGCATTTGAAGAAGCCTCTTTGGGATGTGGTTTGTTTCGAAACAAGACAAGAGTAGTCTTCTTCTTGGCAATGGATCACACCATGAACTACAAGCTTCTGAGCTATTTCCTAATCACCTGGGCACATGCCGTGGATCATTCAATCTTGAAGCTGTTTACTTGAAGAGTGAAGTTCGATTTCTCTTATTTTTCTACTGAGTTTTCGATCCTCCAAAAGCAATGAATCTTGATCTGTGATGATATTAACAAGAGCCACTTCATTGATAAATAAAATCAAACAAAATTTCAAGGTTACTGTGGCGAAAATTACGTGTCGACTACTAAAACAAAGAAAGAAATACGAAAAGGAAAAGACGTTGATCATTTAACTTCTCCAAGACCTTCTACAACTGTGTTGAAGAAATGAGAATATCATTGCCCAATTTGTCACTGATGGTACAAAGATTAGCACGCCATTTCGAACCTGCGTGCAAAAGATGGGCACACTACACGATCGTAACCAACTGGCCTAACCGACATGTTTGCTACCGAAATACCACTTAGTACCTCTTTTAATTGCAAACATGCGTCTCATCTTCTTCACCTTCACCTTCACCATCCTCCTCCACCATCCTCCTCCACATCATCATCATCGTCTCTGGTTGCCGCTGCATATTCTTCAAGCGACGCGGAGGGGAACAAGTCCCCCGCTTTGCCTCCTTTCTCGCCTGCAGCTTTCGCTACACCCGCAGATTTTCCAGCATTCATCTGTTGAAGCACAATTCGAGATTACAAATTACGCAACTTTTCATTCACAATCCAACACAAGAATCCCAAAACCAAATATGCTTAAATTCGAGAACATACCGCACGCAACAGACTCCTCCTATCTCTTTCTCTTGCATTTTTGATCGCCTGCGCATCACAAATTCATAAGACAAAACAAACCCATCAATTTTTGCCAATTTTCGAATCGAAAACCAATTAAAAACTGAAAATTTTACAATAAAATAAAATAAAAATTAAAGAACCAAACCTCTTGAAGCTTCTTCTGCTCAGCCTCCACTTCCGCGAGGTCTTTTCCGACGATTTGCTCGACACGGCAGCAGCACTTGCACAAACACCTTGTTCCTTGGCGCAAGCAGGGCAGAGCTTATGGTGGGACTGCCGGACGGCGCGTTTGGTACAGCGTTGGCACTTGGCGGGCTCCGTCAGGGTCTTGTACTTTCCGTAACGGCGCTTCCACTCGATCTGTTCCTTGCAGCGTTGGCAGACCCCCGTGATTTCCGACAGCGGCTGGAACCGGCCTCCGACCTCGGTTTCGTTGATTTTGACGCCGAGGTTGGGCTTCCATGCGAATTTGTTTTGGTGCCGACCGCCGTTCATCATGGTTCCGTACGATTTTCAAAGATTCAAACTTTGCGTTTTTGTGAAAACAGAGCAAAAGAAAGTCTTGGGTCTTAGGGAAAGACAGACGGAGAAGACTAACCCGATTTGAAAACGGGTTTTTATGACCCGTGTTTGATTTGGATGTGGTTTGTTTGGAACGAGATTGGGCTTTTGATTTGGGTTGATTTGATATGTCAATATAGCCCTTTGGGAATGTGGACACTAACTGGCCTAAAGAGCTTGAGAAAGGTAAGAGGTTTATTTGACAATTGGGTTTTGGATTGGAACTGCGTAAGACAGTGCCCGGACCTTTATGCTTTTGTACGTGTCGGAGCTTGTTCGACAAGAAATTTTACTACTTTAGGAGCGTTATAGTTATGGTCACTACTCTGGAGTTTTGGTCGTCCGCTGCCATGTTATCAGGTCACTGCCTTTCTTGACCTTCCAGCACTAGACAAGCGTTGGCCCCTATACATGGTCTTACAGCTTTACGGATTCCATACAATCTACGCAAAATTTGATTTACTAATAACATTATTAATCACATCTCATACAAAACACTTATGTTGATAAACAATATGTTATATATTACGAGATGAGAAACGGCACAACTTAGAAATATGACCAACGATTACCATGGTATTTTTTGGGTAAATATTTAATCACAATTAACCCATAAAATGTAGTTACCTAGCTAGTTTAAGGAAGAGCTTGGTAATATATATATATATATATATAATTATTATCGGCACTTCAAAAATCTCATTTTACACTCCAAACTTTCTATATTTGGAAAGAAAAATACACGTGTAAGGAGTGTAGAATGAGATTTTTGGAATGCCAATAACACTTATATATATATATATATATATATATATATATATATATATATTAAATTTTACTATTACTAAAGGGAGAGTTCGAAACCTAATCTTGTTCTATCGTTGATCAGAGATTTCTCTATGAACAATATGAATCGGAGTTTGCAGAAGGGGAAGAAGTCCTTAACCCGCAACGGATAGAGGAGGATTTATTCAATCAAATAGTTTGGGCTCCTAGAATATGGCGCCCTTGGGGCTTTCTATTTGATTGTATTGAAATGCCCAATGAATTGGGATTTCCCTATTGGGTTAGGTCATTTCGGGGCAAGCGGATCATTTATGATGAAGATGATGAGTTTCAAGAGAATGATTCGGAGTTCTTGCAGAGTGGAACTTTTACAATAATTTAAGGGAAAGAAAGTATCAAACCAGTACGCATTGATAATATGTAGTTATCTAGTTATTGACCAAAAAGAAAGTACCTCGTGACCAATTTAGATGCTCTTTCACATTTTATTATAATTCAGGAAATTTAATTTGAGCCTATTAATAATCTTTCGACTCAACTTGAAAATTTGTCCTACAAACTTATTAATTATTTGAGCCCATCATATATATCGTTGTCATGTAAAACCCAATTTTGCATGGTTCCTCTACGGCTGCAGTTGGTACAAAGCTTTTATCCCTGCAATATCATCACTGTGCAACGCCCTTCTAGTCTTCCCAGCACCAACATAGGCGTACATAATGGCATCAGACAATGTACTGTGCTGAAGTCCAAGAACATGCCCTAATTCGTGCGCAGCCACCCACACCAGGTCGTACTGGTTCTTACTTGGAGGCCTGAAGCTCCAATTCTCATCTGCGTCCAAGTGCAGCCTTCCATCCGTGGGAGCAAAAGCATGCGCCAAAACCTTACCGGCCCCGTCAAATGGGCTCCCATCTCCATGATCGCGGCGTTGAAAGCTAATCAAAATGTCAGCTGGTGAACTCGGCACTACCTGTTGAAACGTAAAGTTGGTAACTTCGGCCCATAGATCAAATGCTTGTCGACATGCCATCGATAATGCATATGGCGCAGCGGGATTTTTGGCTCCGGCGTTGAATTTGTAGGTAAGATTACGCTTTGTAGGTGGCCATTTCCTGTTTCCTTCGAAGAATGTGTAATGAGAACCCAGAGAACCCATACGAACACCATGTGTACGTTGTTCCGTTGCATTTAGGTTGACAAAATTATCAGACACACCACACCTCGGAGTGCTTATTAGATCAACCGTACCGGAATCAAGCTTTCCTGTGACATTCAGATGATATGTTTTTTGAATTTTTTTCAGTGCAGTTTCCAAAACCTCATCAACCTCAAAGCTGCTGATAAAATTTCTGGAGTTTTTTGGAACACTGTCGGTTAGGTATCCGAAGGTCCCCAGGTAGCTTCTAAGCTCATCGAACCCTAGTGTCTTTCCCTCTTCCTTTTGAATTGACTGAACTGTGAAAGCATGAATTGCTAGAAAGGAAAGTAACGCTCCCAATAGATTACAAATAATATTTGTGGCCATTTGTCTCTCAGAAAACACTACTCACACTACACCACAAACCACTTTTTATAGCAGCCCATAAATGCTATAGAAAGTGCTCCATAGCATTTTCTCCAATGCTATATTAGGCGCGATTACACTTTCTATAGCATTTTTCAACTTCTGTAGAAAAATATTTGTTATGAAATGTTTTTTTATAGCATTTATTGAATTCTATAAGATATCATCTATAGCATTTTTCAAATAACCAACCTTCATAGCATTTAAAAATGGCACTTTTATACAATCCATAGCATGTAGCAGCATATAGAAAACATCTATAGCACTGAATTTTTTGGTGATTATGTTTTGAAATCAATCCTTAGTAAAAATCAAAGTGGATCTTGGAAGAGCACTTGAAGTACTTTTGAACCCAAAACCAACAAAAAAACGTTTTCAATTAGTTTAAAAACAATTTCAAATGAGCACATAATCTACGGTTTCTACAAGATCAAGAAGACTTGAGCTGCTAAGACTTCTCTCATGGCAAAGAGAAAGGTCAAATGTATTAATTAAAGATAAGATTAATAACTAAAAAAAATCTTATCTTTAATGCTTTTCTTTTTGAAGACCAACTCAATCAAGTAAGGAATCACAGTCAAATCCAATCAGAGATTCCATTACATAATTCCAAGATATCATTAATTAAATAATATCTTTGAGATTATTTCTCAAGTATCTGAAAGATATCACAAAACCTAGTGCATCTAACGGATGACACATATTGTCCAACTAGACATTAACACATAGCATGGCAATCCTACACACACGGCCAACTAGTTCTATTTCACCAAATTTTAATAAGTTTTTGTTACACAATTAGGCTCTAAACTTTTTTTTTTTTTTTCCAGATGAATTGACTTAGCATCAAAGATCAGTGACCAAACCCTGCTACTACATGGGCACGTGACTTTGGTCTTTGATCAAAGTTGTTTAATTGTTTTGTAGGTGCAAATTCGCCAACATGGAAGACGACGGATTTATACTACCGGAAATTGGTGCTTTTATTGAGAGTCTGATTCAAATATCGAAAAAGCACTCACCATCTTTTTTCGAATGTCCCCCTCTTCGATTTTCTCACACGCTTGTAGTCTCTGAATTTTTTATTAATTCCTGGAGAAAAAAAAAAACATGGCTGGAAATTCAAAACTAGCTACAACGAGTGATACTTTCTACGCGCCATGGTCTTTACCCACGCGGCGGACATGGAGCGATGACGACTGCCACCACCACCCTGGACCATCGCAGCAGCCTAAACCAGAAGGCTACAACTCAAATTTTGTGCATGTTGTCCACCACACTTCCATCACCAGTGGAGATGCTCATCGCAAAAGGAGCAGAACATCCAAGTTCTATTAGATATTTTTTTATTTAAATTTGCATGAAAACTTGTGGTTTCATGAGTGTAGTGTTTTAAGAAAATTTTGAGTTTCTATGACACTTATTCGGGTTCAAATTTATGACTTCAAGTACATGGGTATCTGCAAGCAAACTCAATATATACTGAACAATAATATATACAACAGGTAAATAAATGTAGGTTTGCAGGCTAGTCTCCATAGTCATGCCATCTAGTATTCTTGAAGGTCCATGTTGGTAAGAGTGCAGACGCACCATATACCCGGACTATAGACAGTCGGTACCCTGCCATTATTGGATCAGGTAAATGATCCAATGGCATAACATATTATGGGCGACTTGGAGAGTCCATGGTTCATTAGTGGCATGAAATGCCAATTACCTTAGAACAAACTACGTCTTATTCCCTTAGAATAACTTTGTGATATACTCACAACATCAAAGGTAAAATCGTTATCTAGAGATTATATTTATGTTCCTATTACATGTGGTTAATTTGTGTCTTTAAAATTGTTATGCCATCCATGAATTACATAATTATTACAAATTTTTATAAATATTAACTACTAAAGGCAGTGGCGGATTCAGGAAATAATGTTTGGGGGGTCAACAAGGAAAGCGCGCGCAGTGCGAATTTTTTTTTAACAGAAACGGCATGCATATCGTCATTTCATCGGGTCTTGGTAGGATAGCGTGATCAGCCTCTTTCCGATAGTTACCATACTGAAAGGTGCCTTCACTTTCCCTGACAACCAAAAATAAACATAAAATTTGGTTGGATGGTTCATAATAAACATAAAATTCTGATGTCAATATGGTGGTTCATAATAATATTTTTTAGAGATCATATTAATTTATGTTGAATATAAAGAGAAATAAAGTTGTTAAATATGTGGATGTGGAAAGGGCACACACATCATTACCATTAATTTATGTCAAATATGTGGATGTGGACGCATGGGAACTTTGCAATCTGCACCAAGACTTAATGGTGACATCTTCAACTTGACACACGAACCGAACTGACAGCCTATGGCTTTTTACACAAAGCAAGCAATTTGATGCTAGCTGTACAAATTTGATTGGAGAGAAACTAAGAAAAAAAATTAAATAAGAAGAGTGTGTGGTCATGTGGTGTGAAAGGAAGAGAGAGAACGTCTTCGTCTTCGTCTTCCTCTTCCGCCAAACCGAACGAAAACCAGAAGAAACCCAGAAAAATGCAGCAGCTCCAAAAGGTCGCACCAGCAGCTTTAAGGGGTCGCACCAGCAGCTCCAAGGGACCTCTAAGGTTATTTCCATGGCTTCCAAGGGGTCGTGCGACCCCATTGACC